CGTGTGGGAGTGGGGGGGGGGGGCATGTCAGTCAGGATCAGCGTCTCTGCTCTGCTCCACAGGAGGAAGCTTCACCAGAAATCACATCCGCACGGTTTAATAACACCGACGGCTGAAAGAAGAAAGGCGGCAGACAGGAGATGGAAAGGCTGCGGCTACGTGGAACGATTCATTTGTTCACCAGCTTAATGACTTTTATATGTGCGCAGTGTATTCGGTCATTCGATGATGGACACATCTCTAATATTTAGATGATAGTCTGTTACAGCTGTAACAGGCGATGCAGCACGACGTGGACTTTAGGTAACACGTGATAGAAAACGGACTAAACGTTATTTAGTTTCTCAAAATCCGAAACACCCCCCTCCCCACTATTTATTGAATGTATTTTATATCGTTGTACCTCAACGTGAGGACCTGCTTACCCCAAATGCAGGGTGGATCCTCTTCAATGATTACCTCTAATCTGCTGCTGTTTGAAAAGAACAAAAGAGGATAAATAATAAGCAAGACAATACAAATGGAGTCTCATGAAACTATATGAACTAGAGGGGGTAGGACAGAAAGTGAGATGTAATTAAGCAAGATGTCTGTGCCAATAGAGAAGAAGAGAGGACATTATGTGTAATTTAAACCAGGGGGGGGGAGTAGTGGCAGTTCTATGAGTTGATAAAGAAACGATGCTCTGAACTCTGCTGCTTTCTGACAAACGATTGTTGTAAACGTGACGATACGAAGCGAACGAAAAGCGAGCGACGACGCACAAAGACGTGTGGTCTTCTCAAGTCTACACGAGTTTCACACGACAGTTGGGGAAATATACACTTTGTGCTGTGAAAAAAAACCTGCAAGCAGCAGCGAGCGGAAGGTGGGTGAGACTCGGTGAGACTCGGCTGGGTCGTCATGGCGACGCTTTCTGTGCAGAATGAAAGGAAAGGAATGGAAGAGTGAAGGAAAGAGGGCAGGTTCTCCTCCACGAGCCGCATTGGAAGTGGACTGTTTTCTCCCCAAAGTACAACAAGAAAGACCACTTGTTCTCGCTGGCAGAGCTCCTTTGTCAAATAGAGGACATAGAAAACAGGCCTGTAAATAACTTACTCACCCACCACAGTCTGTTCAGGAAGCAGGAATCAGGAAACATTTATTACCAAAATATGTCAAACATACAAGGAATTTGTCTTGGCGGTTAGTGCGCGACAGTAGACAGACAAGACAACAGTGCAGTAATAAAATAAAGTAAAATGAAATGCTAATGCAATGGGTTAGTAGAATAAGGCTATGGGTTAGTATAAAACAAGGGAATAAAGTTAAAAATGTTAAATATTAAAAAAGTTAAAAAGAAAAATATTAAGCATAAAGTGCACTAACGAACAAGTGACGAGTGACGACAAAGTGAGAAATGACAGTTAAAGTGACGTGTGCAGTATGAAGGGAAGTGACCGGTGGAGTGTTAGAGTCAGTCAGTGGGGGACCGGCTCTGTTGATGAGCCCGACTGCCGACGGGAAGAAACTGTTGGTGTGGCGGGAGGTCTTAGTCCTGATGGACCTCAGCCTCCTGCCAGATGGAAGGGGCACAAACAGTTTTTGTCCGGGGTGAGAGGGGTCGGCCGCGATCTTTTTAGCTGCTTCAGAGACCTGGAAGCGAACAAGTCCTCCAGGGACGGCAGATTGCAGCCGATCAGCCTCTCTGCAGAGCGGATGACACGCTGCAGCCTGCCCTTGTCCTTGGCTGTGGCTGCAGCGTACCAGACGCTGATGGAGGAGCAGAGGATGGACTCCATGATGGCCGTGTAGAAGTGGACCATCATCATCATCAACGTTGAAGCTCGGCCCGACACGACTCACTGCTCTACTCGCCGTGGAGAAGAAAGCGTTGAACGAACGAATCGTCCGATTGAGCTCGTCCGAGACGAGATACGTGGTGCAGAAGTCGCGCGCGTCAGCCGGCTTCTCTCCACCAGCAGCCGTGGCGTCACGAGGCCAAACCCAGCCGGCGTAACGTAACGGTGATTGATTTCACAAGCAGCTGTCTTACATAAGCAGGTCGGGGTGAACAGGGAGGGCAGGAAAAGAGACGGGGGGAGAGCAGGATGGACGGTGGGAGGGTGGGAGGCGGTGAGGAGGATTGCGGGGGGGGACTAGCTGGTGAACATGGTGGAGCATGAAGAGGCCGATATAGTGTCAGGAGATGGTCCAGACCAAAATCACACTAAAAGCAGGGTGAATATTTAATAAATAGTATTCATTTGTTGAACTTGTTGAAATTTTTTTGACCGCTGTAAATAAGAGATCATCTGTAAAAACACTCAAACATTAATTAACCTTCTGTAACTCCAGTTTCTCGCCTCAGGTCCTTTTCACAAACACATTTAATTAGTGTTCAGCTATAAGAGGACAACGTTGTACGGAAGCTGTCACTCACGGCGGCGGCAGTCGTGCCCAATGGGGTCAGACGATTTAAAGAAGCGGTTGAGACGTCGGACTCCCAACAATTTGACTTCTCCCACATTCTGGGCCACAAAAGCCTCGTAGTCCTGACTGTAAGTGCACTGTCCACACACCGGTCTATCACGTAGACGTGCTTCCGTCCTGCCATCTCCGCTTTGAAAGGGCTCAGAGGGCTTTTAGTGATTTTATTTCAGGCGAATCTCAAAATTTAAAGTTTTTTTTTATATCGATTTATTTCCTCACCGGGTAGCATGTAAACTGATTTTTACTCACAAGATTCCCCCTTTATCCTGACAAAAAGAATATTATACTATACATAAGTCACATACGTAGTTAATGAGGAGTTAGTGGGACGTTTTCAGAGGCAACAAAGTAGCCGCGTGTGCCGAGGCGAGGACATCAGGACGCGGCAGAAGAAGGTGACATCGTCTCCTTCGGTTCCAACTCTCAGAATATAGTGACAGTTGATGTAATATAGCTGCACTGTATCTGTCAGCATGGCCAAAACGAACGAGCTCCATCTGCTGGATGATCTCGTGGGCAAATAGATACGAGCATGGAAATCAACCAGCATTCAGTGTGAAAGGTCAGCATCACAACCCCCAAAGACCCCAAATAATAAATAGATGATAATAGATACAGAATTCTGCCACTCGGTGACCTACATAGCAATGTGGACGTCTTTGGAGTCTTTTGTCTTCTGCTGCTGGATCAATGCCGATTTAGAGAATATCCAGCGTGATGGATACAGATGCTTCTTAATGAAAAACGAACAGAAGGTTTGTGAGGAATCAAAGATTTGCAGAGGTTGAATCATCCTTTAGGATGCTTGTTTTTATTTATAACTATTTCCAATCTTTCATGCCTTTTGCACCCGCTCACAGAATGTGGGCGGCGTTTCCTCTGGATTATCTCTGGATGAAGCTGCGTAGGTGGCGCTCTTTTCTTTAGCGCTGACAGATGGTGTTAATCGCGCACTTTTTCATATCCGGCTTCAGGTTCACGGAGGTCAGTCTGATGAACGTGGGGTTGATTCCCCCCCCCGACAGTCTGCAGGCTCCACTGCCTGCAGCTACTTCTGTCAGTCCAAAGACGGGATGACATTGTGACGTCGTGTCGATAGAATAAAATACTGTTTGGCATTTCAATGGGAAATAGAGAATAATAAAACCTTGATTGATTGATTTGCAAGCTTTTTGACAGGCAAATTTGTCTGTGTTCTCGCATCCTTGTGGCTCCGGTCCAGCGGCCTCCGGAAGGTCACTCAACCATTTAATAAACTTCTCTCATTGGGCGGGAGAGCGAGCAGATCATTGTTAGTTTCAGGGATATTTCAGTTCGGTGCTGCAACATCTCTGCAAAGCTGCTGCAGCCAATCCAAGCTTTACCTTCCAGGGGCTAAAACCAGTGAATATACCGCCCGGTATGCTACGAAGAATTCTTGCGCTGGATTTTCTTTTGTAAGCTGCTGGGTGCGTCTTCTCAGTGGCATCTGGGCTCTTGTCTCCTTTGGGGTGTCGGGCAAAAAGACAGATTAGCAACAACGAGGGCAAGTGAGGAAAGAGAGAAAGGGAGGAAGGAGCAAGACAGAGAGGTGTTGGTAAATAGAAGGTGTTGTAAACTCCGACAGATGTGGGTGAGTTACATCGTCGACTGCATCGGTCTAGTTAACTTCTCGTCAAATCAGAAGAAAGAGTTATTTGGTGTTCACGTGACTCTTAACGTGACTCAATTGGGCTCCGTGTTGGTTGGACGGATGTCATCTTGTACTGTAACAGTGTTCTTGTACTAATACACTGTGTCACAGTGTATTTTTGTCCTGTGTGTGTGTGTATGTGTGCGCCCTCAGAAAGGCCAGTTTAATTAGACCGTAACCCCCCCCAAGTCCTTCTATTGTCGTCTGACTTCCAAGCTCGGCGCTTTTTGTGGCCTCGGTGGTCAATAAGCATCGATGCCTTTGTCCTCTGGCAAAGTAGAGCAGAACAAATAAGCTGTTTTACTTCTTGGTGTGTGTAGTGGAGAGCGTGGTGATGTGAGTTTGCAGTGTGTACTTGTTGGTGCACTTGGTGCACCGCCTTTGGCCCGGCAGCTTTCCATGTGGGCTTTCACACGCATACACTTTCTTTACTAGATGAACGTCCGAAACACGTAAATGAGTAAGAGAGGCTGCACTATGTGGAGCCTGACTTCCTTCCTTCACTCCTCCAAGTTGTGTGGCGATAACATCTGGAATCAATACGCCAGACAAACGCCAGCAAACGCCTCAACGTGTCTGCAGCCGTCTGCGTTTCCCTCCAACATGGATTCTTTCACCAAATTAAGTCAGTCTTCTTATTTCCGTCTTGATTCCGCTCCGTTAATCTGGTTCCAAGCCGAATTTCACAATGTGGATTCATGAAATTCCTCCTTTAAAAGGACCGTTTCGTTACATTTAATTACACCTGAAACGCCAGCGTACATCACGTCAGCGGTGAAGCGGGATTTCCGTTTTTTGCTGACGGTCAAACTGTGTTCCGCGTGCTGGACTGTTTGTGTTGCCGCGGTGATTGCAGGCTGCTGTCCAGGATGGCGGCGATGAAGGAGCAGCAGTTCCCAGAGGAGAAGCCTCTGCTGCCGGAGCAGCGCGGCGTGGATTCAGACACGGTGGGTCCGCCTTCCCTTCGCCGCGCGCGTCCCAATGACCTTCATCCTTTCAGGTTTTTCCTCAAATGGCGCCAAACAAAAGGTCTTCTCCAAACTCCTCCCACACCCGCCGCTTTGAATGTGTCAATCATTGGTGCCACAGCCAAGCTCCTCTTATTCTAATTGAATAAGAATATTCAAAATAATTTAATCTAACTTCAAAGAAATTCACCACTTCAGAGGCAACACATTCAAATTACTTTTTCTAGAAAATAAATTACTTTTTCTAAGTAACTAAGAGTATAAAACATCTTACTGTAAAATCCCCCAAAAATGTAATGTGCCGTTACATTGTTCATACGATTGATGTGATTGTTTTTTCTCTGAATATTATTATTATTATTAATATTATTATATTATATATTAATACTCTCTTCCACTGGCTCCATAATTGTTTTGCTTTTATTTCAACATTTTGACATTAATATATTTAAATTGGAGTGCCAAATACATTATTAATGAGTGAGCTTTCTATCCCAGGACGTTATGTCTTGAATTATAGAAACACATTAAAGGAAATTGCACATGAAAAGACCTTTGGTGTGTGCTGAGCTCGGGGAGACTTTGCTTGTGACATCGGTACGTCTAAGAGTAACTCACCTGCCTGCAGCATGTTCCCGGTTGGAAGTCGCATGTGCACGGTTTAACGTGTCTCTGCGCGCCGTCTCCCCCTGGTTTCCTCTCTAAGGAAGGTTGCAGGACTTGAGTTCTCTTGAGCAAAGAAGAAGAAGAAGAGGCTTCGGAGCTCCAAGTGCTGAACCCCCCCCAGTTTCTACCCAGTAACCACCTTGTGTTTGTTTGTTTTGCCACCCAGCAGGATAAAGGCGAGGAGGCGTCGGGGGGGTCGCCGCGCCCCACCGGCCACGCGCCTCTTAACCACCCCTCCCCCCCCGGCCGCCCCACTCAGCGCTGGCACGTCATCGCGCGCCACTGGCTCCGCCAGACGCGCCGTCGCACCGGCGGGTCGATCCCGGTAACTACCAGAACCACCAGAAGCACCAGAACCCCCCCCCCAGCACACTGAGTCTAACACCACGGTGACTTCCGGTTGCACCAGCTGGAGGTTCAAAATGTGTACTGGATACTAGTAGGAATACTAGTTCATTGTTACTAGTTGACTTTCCGTTGGATGACCAATGACTGTAAATGTAGATCATATAAACCCAGTACATCGCACACATTGCCTCGTTGGGTAAAAGCAGCCATACACAGTATCAAGTAGAGAGAAGTATTGAACGTTAAGTACTCCTTACTGTAACACATGCTGATCATGTGTATTTATATACCAAATCTTAATCTTCTTGGTAACTTTAGCCGTTGAATACATGTGTACAACTAACAACTAATCTGTAGTATGAAATGTACTTGTACTACATTGTACTAAAGTAAAGTTATTATTTCTATAATATACAATATTGAAAAAAGGAATTCACAACTTTTGCTTATATTCCTTCCCCGACTCAACAGGAAACATTTAACTTTGTGTTAAAAGCCCCAGTGGTCCGTTAACCTCCATCTACACCGATAATCCGTCATACTGACCAAATAGTAACACGAGGATTCAAAACCGCAACAGAACCGGAAGGTTTATCCTCTGAACATCTTTAAGCGCCAAACCAGCAGCTTTAGGCCCATTTCTCGGTTTACCCTCGTTGTGCTTGACTTTTGTCCTCGGTCCCAAACTTAATCAAGTCATGAACCCCCCCGACGGCCACACCATTCAAACCAGTACAACAGGGCTGCCCCCCTCCCCGCTGAACTCAGGATCAGAGGGCGGGGGGATGAGAAGGAGAAGAGCGCCACCTGCTGTACTGTCACCGCTAACATCTCCCCTTTGCATGAAGGCCACAGGGACTGAGGCTGCCCTCCACCCCCTGTTGGGATGAGTCCGTCACGGCTCATTCAACACCTAGATGCGTCTTCTTAAAGGACAGCTTCAAGGTCCTGTGGTCTGCAGGTCTTTCTTTCTCTTTAGGTGTGTCCCTGACTTGACTTTGTCCTCTCCTTTACTTAAAATGTGACTCCCGACGCAGCTAATCCACAGCTATTCCTTTTCTCTTCCTATGTGCACCATCTTTAATCCCGTTGTGTGTTTTCTTGTGTGCATGTTTAACGATGAAGCATCTGTTCCGACGGGCGTCTAACCTTCCGCGCGTGTCCTTTTTACCTTCGGTCCAGATGTTCCTGTTCTGGGCTTTGCGAAGGCCGCAGAGCAGGAACATGCTCTTAAATGAGCATGTGCTGAAATAACACAGGTTGGAACAAGTGACATTTCACCGTAGTTGTGATAAATTGACGTAAAGTGAAAGTTTTGGTCTGAAGCATACGTTATTTTCTAACTAGCTGCGTGTATCTAAAAAAAGAACCTGTTTTATGTCAATACATCGCTTCTCAAGTTAAAGAGTCCCGACCAAGTTCTCTCACAGTGAATCCTGCACGGCCTCGTGTCCTGAAGAATGTTCACTAGAACAAAGCAGTTTGGGGAATTACGTTGAAAAGGAAACATATTTTTGGATTACTTTTGCTTTTGATGTATTACAAACAAGTTCTGTGGTCCACGTATAGACAAGTAGTCGGGTTGTGGATGAGACAAGAGTTTTTCAGTTTAACTAGTTTGTTGCATTTACCTCTTTTATATTTGTAAGATTAACATAGGCAGGCAAAGTCTGAGCAAGAACAATAATTTAGTTAATTATGTTTTTTAACATTTTAACTTACAAACTTCTGTTGTGAAATTTAAATAGGGCCCGATGAAAGCCACTATTTAGGCTGAATTACAGACCCTGGCTGCAGTGTTGCGCATAAGTCCCGCCCCCTCTCTAGATTAGTAAAATGGCCCATTGTGATGTAGAAACAGTCATGCAACCGATTTGCGAAGCAGAGGTTTGATTGCGGCTTCGTTGAAGGACTGTGGTGCATGTTGTTTCAGCAGAGCTGTACTAACGATTCCTACACCCAAAGACTGATCCACAGGGAACCATCAATTATGCCTCTAATAGTCAGAATCTTATCATCGTGCTGCCCGGCTCAACAGAGCTGTGACTGTGAAGAGAAACGTGGGGTTGTTTTTATTTTTCTTGATTAATGATAAGTAATCTTTATTAATTGATGCACACTAATGTCTGAGCAATATATACTGCATGTGTTAGAGAGTTCAGACTCACTTATTCTTTTCCAATCGTCTGCTGTCTCTGCTCTCTGTGTGCAGGAAAGCTTCGACCAGCTGATGCCGGTGGGGGATTGGAAGGTATGAGCCCATGTTTGTGTTCCTCTCTGTTTTCTTACTGCCGCGTCTTTGGTGTTGTCGCCTTTCTATCACTCTTTCTTTTCGCCATGTCTTTGTGGGCGCTCAATCGGCTAACGTGGGAGATGGATTTCTGAAACTTTAAAAGGAAATATCACCTATTGCTCCACTGTAGGTTCAAATCCTTTAAGGACTCTCTGTGTGGAGTTAGCGGGTTCTCCATGTGCCTGCTTTCAAAGACTAATTAATACCAATAAATCAGTGATTGCTACTCTGAGACTACTAGTTTTAAAATTCTCAATTGATCTGATTTGGGAAAGCTTTTTATACACTTTGGAGTGTCAAGATGTCCCACATTTAACCTTATACGCGTATACTGTGTCATATATACATACATATGAAATGCTTACATGCATACAAGTGAAACATTTATACGCATCTCACTAGTGAACGTAAGATCATCTCACTAGTAACTAAGAGCATCTCACTAGTGAACGTAAGAACATCTCACTAGTGACTAAGAGCATCTCACTAGTGACTGTAAGAGCATCTCACTAGTGACTAAGAGCATCTCACTAGTGAACGTAAGAGCATCTGACTAGTGACTAAGAGCATCTCACAAGTGACTGTAAGAGCATCTCACTAGTGAACGTAAGAACATCTTACTAGTGACTGTAAGAGCATCTCACTAGTGGATGTAAGAGCATCTCACTAGTGACTGTAACAGCATCTCATTAGTGACCAAGAGCATCTCACTAGTGAATGTAAGAGCATCTCACTAGTGACTAAGAGCATCTCACTAGTGAACGTAAGAACATCTCACTAGTGACTAAGAGCATCTCACTAGTGACTAAGAGCATCTCACTAGTGAACATAAGAGCATCTCACTAGTGACTAAGAGCATCTCACTAGTGAACGTAAGAGCGTCTAACTAGTGACTAAGAGCATCTCACTAGTGACTAAGAGCATCTCACTAGTGAACGTAAGAGCATCTCACTAGTGCACGTAAGAGCTTCCCATTAGCGTACGGAAGAGTGTCAGTTACACCGGAAGGCGGAACAGCAAAAAGTGCCAATCTTATGCCCCTACGTTATATGTTTTTACGTCCTGACTTGTCCGTCCTTGTGTAAGTTTTTATATACTACCATATTCAAGTGACGGAATGTCATTTTTGGAGTTTTTCATTTTTGGGAAACACCCCCTGGTATGTTTGTCAAAGGAGGTTAACCTGTTAATTAGGAAGAATGGAATAAAAGCGTCTGAGCCATGGGGGCCGGTACCGGCCGAGTGGGGACCGGGAGATCAATGAGAGCATCTCACTAGTGAGCGCAAGAACATCTCACTAGTGAGTGTAAGAGCATCTCACTAGTGAACATAAAGAGTATCTCACTAGTGAGTGTAAGAGCATCTCACTAGTGAATTTAAGAGCATCTCACTAGTGACTGTAAGAGCATCTCACTAGTGACTGTAAAAGCATCTCACTACTGAATGTAAGAGCATCTCACTAGTGACTGTAAAAGCATCTCACTAGTGAATGTAAGAGCATCTCACTAGTGCACCTAAGAGCATCTCACTAGTGCACCTAAGAGCATCTCACTAGTGCACCTAAGAGCATCTCACTAGTGCACCTAAGAGCATCTCACTAGTGAATGTAAGAGCATCTCACTAGTGCACGTAAGAGCATCTCACTAGTGCACCTAAGAGCATCTAACTAGTGAATGTAAGAGCATCTCACTAGTGCACGTAAGAGCTTCCCATTAGCATACGGAAGAGTCTCAGTTACACCGGAAGGCGGAACAGCAAAAAGTGCCAATCTTATGCCCCTACTTTATATGTTTTTACGTCCTGACTTGTCCTTCCTTGTGTAAGTTTTTAAATACTGCCATATTCAAGTGACGGAATGTCATTTTTGGAGTTTTTCTTTTTTCTAAACGCCCCCTCATATGTTTGTCAAAGAGGTTCACCTGTTAATTCGGACAAATGGAATAAATGACGTGGTAAACACGTGCAAATCAGAAATATTTTTATTAATGGGTATTGCATTTTTGTAATGCCTCTACCCAAAGAGTACTTTGATAAGCGTTGCTTAATCTTTTACCTTTCGACTCATTTTGATCAGTTTCACAATGGCATGACCGTTAATTATTCAGGTAAAAACGTTCAAATAGCCCGAAGGTCCTGCAGACAAATTACAGGTAAATTGGTGACTGGGAATAAAACAGCACGTAACTATGGCAACTATTCCATTAATACTACATTATAATGTGTTACAGTATGCTATGCTATAACACTGTAATATACAATAACACTGTACTCTATTATACAACCCAACTCTATACTTAACTATAATGCTAAACTATGCGATACATACTGAACAATATTAAAATAAAATACTATTCTTTCATCCGTTATCATCAATCTAGGATAAAGCTTTGCTTTACTTTTATTCAGTGGTGGCTGGTCAATAGAGGGCCCGCCTGGAGCGCCCCTCCATATATTAAATTATAAAAATGGAAATTAGTTTTTTAAATATGAAATGTACCCTGTAATATTTGTAAAATATGATATCTGCACAAAAGATTTTTCCTGCAGGCCTGTCAAACGCACGTCCTGTCTTCATGTGCGTTTTATCTGCGACAGGGTCGATCCCGCAGCAAGCATGTCTGAGAAGCACTTTAGCCAATTGCTGATTAAATAAAAACATGTTTGACATACAATTTAGCCAATCAGCGTCCCTAAATAGACCCAGCCTGAGGCAACATTGTTTTCTCCCCAAGCTTGTGCGTTCTGGTCAAGGCTGGTATCGACAGGCGGATGACCTTCTGGAGGAAGTAAAGAGCGCAGATTTTATCGCCATTCAAGCAGACAAGACGACTGACATGTATAGAGTACATATTATACCAACATATTCTTATTATTTCATATAAATATATTATATATGCCTTTGAGATTGAGAAAAATAAGATGTATTAATTAAGGCTTTTTTCATGTTGGAATAAATATTAAATATTTAACTGCAAAGTAGAAAGTGTTTTTGATATAAAATCATTAAATCAAGCTGAAGCGTTGGCTAAAATTGATTCGCTTTCCCCAGAACGTTCCACCAGCCGCCACTGCTTTCATTACTTATCATGTCTCATTCTTACTCCTAAGGTTAACATTAGTAGAATAGCATTATATATGAATGGAGTAGTATTTTTGACATTGGATAACTGCTGGTTTGCACGCAAAAACTTTGTTGTTCCCACAAACTGTGGTAGCACCTTGCTACAAAAGCAATGTAGTGAACTATAAAGTACTAAAATACTGTGGTAGGACTGTTTCCCCATGAGTGCATTACAGAAGTTTTAAACTCGACTCAGCTAAATCAAGAATCTGAACCCTAAAAAGCGTGTTAAGTTGATATTTGCACATCGGAGTATTAACGCTGGTGGGTTTATTTTAGTCAGACACGTGCTGAGCGTCAGGCAGGAGCGATGAGACGTTTCACACCAAAAACCACTCTCTCGCACTTCAAACTAACACTTCAAGGTCTCAAAAAAACATCACTTTCTGGCTGAGATGAATATTTCCACATCAGATTTATTCGTTCTGTGATTATTACAAACATTGGTTCTGCATACATTTACCAAAAACATGCCTATTTGATATTAATTTAAACGTTTACGCTGCTTGAAAACTGCACACGTAGACGCATTGTCAGTATGAACTCTCAGGCTAAAAAAAATAATATTTAAAACCAAGTATTTTTAGTCTAGATGAGTGCCACTGCTTAATAAATGCAAGGAACAAACCAGAAAGACGCGAGCTGATCTTACTGCTTAATGTACCTCCATAAAATACTGGGAACGTTGTGTTGCGTTTTTATGTTTTGCTGTTACTTAGTAGAAGATCGTGGACTGTTAAATAATAACTATCAGTAACTGTTCTGCCTAAACCTACCAAATCGTTTCACAGCATTAACCATAACGCTGCCGTCAACGATGCAACATGCTAAATATGTACAGTGATTCTTAAATAAGGCTAAACAGGGACGGCTGTGCCGAGCACACGGGACACGCGACGAGGACGTGGAGGAAAACAGGGACTTCTTATGCAAAGTTTTGTGGTTTTGGGTCTTTCCTCAACACACTGATTGGTAAACTAAGTTCAAGATCACTGCTAAGCAATAATGCGTGTTTGATACCTTATTTTGCATTGAATCACACTGGGATGAAACTGATTTTACCAACAAACAAAAAAATCCACCAGTTTTTAATACAGCTAACAAGCTACATGAGCTACCTCCATTTTGGACCCTTGTTCTCTCTGAACGTTTATGCCCAAAGCACCATGTTGCGTTGAAGCTGCCTGCACGCTCACAGGCTTACGTGAGGCCTCCGGCTACATTTTAGATAAATCCGAATAAATGTGTCCCCGAGGCGAATTCATCAACAGCGACATTCGGTGGCGGAAAAGAGAAACAGTGAAGTGGGAAAAGATGGGAGCAGTGGTGCTGATGAGAGAGAGAGAGAGAGCCTTTAGACGGGTGACGGACAACACGACCGGCCAATCCCGTGCGGGGGACGGCCGCACTGCGAGCGAATCATCCTCTGTCTGCCACACGCCCCGTCTCTCTCTCTCTCTGGTGCCTACGGAGGGCGAGGAGAAAGGCGGGGGGGGGGCTGACAGCGTGGGTGGGAGACCTGCTGAAGCAGACAAAGACGTCGCAGCATCCAGGACCGAGTCCCTTAAAACAGGGACCCTCCTCCTCCTCCTCTTCCTCTTCTCTGTCGGCTGAGAGCGCGGTCACTGCGGAGCCATGCCTGAGTGCTGGGACGGGGTGAGGAGGGTTCCTTTAATGTTAGTGTGTGTGTGTGTGTGTGTGTGTGTGTGTGTGTGTGTGTGTGTGAGGCAGTATTCAGATGCGGTGTCAACAATATCGGAATCAATTTATTAGCCGTTTCAAAAAAGCTCTGCTTCTATTTGCCGCTAAATGTTTCAATCGGACAAAAATAAATAAAAAGATGTGCTAATAGCAACGTCTTTGCAGCAGGCAGCACATCTGTGTTAACGTGACTGTGTGGAACCGGTTCTGTGGGCGGCTCCTCCTTTGCCCCACTGACACACTTAAGCTCCCCCAACAAATGCTGCGCAATGGAGCGATGCACGTGGCTATGCGGACAAACACCTGTGTGTGTGTGTGTGTGTGTGTGTGTGTGTGTATGTGCACGTGGGGGTCTCACGGGAGTGATCATCCCCCTGCAGCACTGTCCGTTTTTGGCGACGTTAAAAAGGACGCGTAGAATCGGTGTGTTTGGCAGGATTTGATTCTCACACAATCTAGTTGTGTTGTGTCTTATTTTGAAAGCTGGGTGTCCACATCCAATTTTAGATAATGCAACGCACCCCTCACCCCCCCCTCACCCCTCACCCCCTCACCCCGAGCGGCTGAAGGTCATCAGGGGGTTTGCGTGTTGGTGAGACGTTTACTGCATAAATTACAACGCAGACGTCGAAGCGGAAGCAACAATAACGCAGCCGGCAGGTCGAGTTCTGTCCACGAATAGCGAAATAACAATAATGATTTTTCAGTCACATTTCTTTGTGTTAGAACAGTTTAAAATGCGGAGCATCAATGCAACGCTTCCACACCCTAATCCAGGCCAAATAATCCCAAAATACCACTCCTGTTTGTGTGTGTGTGTGTGTGTGTGTGCGTCTCGATTTAGCAGCTCATGGTTACATTTACCTCCCATACCTCCATTTTGAGTTTGGCCGCCGCTGACAAGAGCGGTTTGGAGCCCGAGTGAGTCGTCAGAGACTTTCTGTACTTTCTGCTAATCGTGTTTAATGAGGACGTCGTTTTTTGTAACTGCTTTGATATTAAAGCTTAAATCCTGAATGAATAACTGAAATGTTTCCGTTGTTGTAATGCTGGCGCCAGCCCGGGTCTGTACACCAGACGCGGACGACGTCATCGTAATGCCGCCAATCGCTTTGCACGCGGCTGCTTTAAAGCCTCGACTTCAGAGATTTGATCTTGAATGGCGGCCGTCAACTTTTGGCCACCGAATGAATGGAGGTGGCCATATTTGTTGTGGTGTGTCGAAGTGACACAGAATCGTTGTATTCTCACTGTCCTGTACGCGTCGGAGGAGTCTCCCCCTGATGGACATTAGAGAGAATGCAGGTCTCGAGACACTTTCGCATAACCGGAGGTTTCGTTGTCCTGTCGCCAACAGACAACAAACTCGTGGTAGAGAACAAGATCCGGCTGAAAAATGCAATGACATTTTTTAAAAAGCCACAGCTACGAGCGGCGGTTCGTCCGAAAAAAGTCAAGGAAATCTAAAAAACTGGCTCGGACACGAGAGAGAAAACCTGAAACGCATAATTAGGACGGTGACAACAATCAGGGGAAATCAAGCGTCGGACAGAACGGTTTGTGTGTTTCACAGGAACACGACGTCGAGACCCCGTACGGGACGCTGCACGTGGTGATCCGCGGGGCGCCAAAAGGGAACAAGCCCGCCATCCTCACCTACCACGATGTGGGACTGAACCGTGAGTAACAAGGCAGAATGTGCGTGTGTGTGTGTGCGTGTGTGTGTGTGTGGCCACAGTTTCAGTACAGTGTGAAGATTTCATGCTTTTTATGGAAAAACGAAAAACTGAAGATTCCTCACTGCATAAGTAATAGCAAATAAAACCCCACCCAGGCTCCACGTTGAAGTCTAAATACCAAAAACACGTCGGCAACCTTCAATTAAAATAGTCCCAGCATCAGAATGTTTGGTTGTTTTGCCGTTTGTTCGTTCTGATTGGATTGCACGAGAGCGACAGGCGATGAAGACCAATGGATGTTGACCGGTGACCCTCGGGCGGACGCGTCCGCGCTTAGAGTGACGCTTGATTGCGTTGACAACAGAGGAGTTGAATTCCTCCAACAAACACACGTTCACACCTGGGAAACTAAACGGAAAGTGACTTTCAGCACCTTTGCATGTTAATGTTCTCACCTTCACAAGGTAGGACGGTAAAAAGAAGGTTGCACGATGACGTGCAGATTGCAACACATATTACGTGTTATTATTATTATTATTATCTATGTGCCAGAAAGGCGTAATGATTTAATATCTGGGAAGATGATAAATAGTAGGATGGATCTGAGAGAAGCTCTGTTGAAAACAACCAGAGACAAAAGAAGAAAAGATAAAATGACGCGGCAAGAAGGAAATGTAGGTCAGAAAAATATCCCATGGAGGAAGGCCGGGGGGGGGGGGCGGCACAGCTTCAATGGGTGGAGGTTAGGGTGGATGCTGGTGGGGGTTTGGAAGAGAGAAGCTCTCACAGACCCTCCCCTGCTTTTCATTCCCCGAGCCAGGGTTGTCATGGCGATCGGGCCGTCGATTACCGCGGTGCAGCCGGGCCTCCGGGCAGGAAACGGTGCTGCACCAGCGAGTCTGACGTGGTCGTGTGCTGGGAGGGCGACAACAAAGCTGACGTCCATTTACACACAAAATTAAAATGGAGGTGAACGAGAACAAGAGCCCAACAGGCCGTCGACAGCGGCGTGTTGTTCCCTTGGTGTACACTGGGTGGTGCTCTGCTACGCCAATGAGTTTAGCCATACGGGCAAAAGGGTGCATGCTGGATAGCACAATAGTCCAAAAATGCACCTCCTCCAAGTCTCTGTGGGAGAGGTCGCGGGGTCGAGGACGGATGGAGAGGAGAATGCATGAGGAGTTAAAGAGAACCGACGGCCAAACTGCAACTTCCCTTCATTCTGTCTCAGCGGCGTTCATTAAGACCCAGGTAACTTACACCACCTCCAGGCCAAATAGGCTATTTGGGTTGAATGATAAATTCAGTGTCAGCAGAATAAACCCTAAAAACGTACCTGTGGATCCTCTGAATCATCTGCATTTGCATTTGTAACCAGGAAGCCATCTTTTCCTCTTTTCTCCTCCTGAGTATCAGATGGTCATCTTCAAAGAGCTGCTCCGTCTCTAACCCGAATCCTGCTCTCGTTCCTTCATTCTTCCTCCCCCCCCGCATGCTCCCTCTGCTCACTTCCTCTCGCCCCTCCCCCTCCTCCCGCAGACAAGCTGTGCTTCAACTCCTTCTTCAGTAACGAGGACATGCAGGAGATCACCAAGCACTTTGTTGTTTGCCATGTCGACGCCCCGGGGCAGCAGATCGGGGCATCGCAGATGCCACAGGGGTACAATGTGCACACACACACACACACACACACTTATTCAGATGACCAAACACTTGATAAGAGCCACTAATGAATGGATCATTGTGTCAGTGGTCCGGGGACGAGGCATGAAGAGATTATTTTAAATGATTTGATGCATTTCTTGAATGAAATCAACGAATGAAAGCAAGCAAAGGTAACCCGTCCTCTCTCTGCACAGGTACCAGTACCCTACCATGGACCAGCTCGCTTCGATGCTGCCCACTGTGGTGCAGCACTTTGGGTCGGTGCTTTTTAAGTCCACACCCTTTTTCACGCAGCTCACTTGTATTTAAACGTTTCCTCTAACGGAGCTTCTTGTTTTTTTTAGGTTCAAGAGCATCGTCGGGATCGGCGTCGGAGCCGGAGCTTTTATTCTGGCCAAGTTCGCCGTGAGTCCGGATTAATCTACACGCTCAGGGTTCGAGTGTGTCAAGCAAACTGAATGTGCTCCATGTGCTCTGCGCTCAGCTGCTCTTCCCTGACCTGGTGGAGGGTTTGGTTCTGCTCAACATCGACCCCAATGGCAAAGGCTGGATCGACTGGGCTGCCACCAAGGTACCGGCCCGCGACTTTATGTACGACGCGCTCACAGGGCTTCTGTAAGCTCTTACAACAACATCAACCTCTGGTTTTCCCGCCCAGCTGTCAGGTCTGACCAGCGCGCTGCCGGATACGGTGCTGCCGCATCTTTTCAGCCAGGTGAGCGTCAGAGTCCCAGCGACGGAAATGGACCGTTTGGACGCGTTTCTTTTCAATGGAAAGTGACTCTCGGGTTTGTTTGTCTGTAGGAGGAGCTGATGAACAACACGGAGCTGGTGCAGAGCTACCGGCAGCAGATCAACAACACCGTGAACCAGTTCAACTTGCAGCTTTTCTGGAACATGTACAACAGGTGGAGTGACGCAATTTCCTTTTGAACACACACACACACACACACGCACACACCAAACACACAACTCACCTTGTTGTGTCTTTCAGTCGGAGGGACCTGGAGATGAATCGCAGCGGCACTGTGATCAATGCAAAGACCCTGAAGTGAGTCTCATCTTACACAGTCCCGTCAGTTTAACAACCCAATGGAGGTTTTCAGAGCACCAGAGTCCCTTTAGAAAACCTCCATTTTTACTGCAGCAGGTTCTGAAGGGTTGTTTCGGTTTTTGGGGGGTTGCAATGAACTAAACCAAATGATTGAGTCGTCAGAATATAATCTGGTAGAATCGTACCAAACTTATGTATCTATATATATATATATATATATGTAACCTCCATCCCGTGAGCACGAGGTCTGAACCTTGTGACCCTGAAGGTGCCCTGCGATGCTGGTCGTGGGAGACAACGGGCCGGCTGAGGAGGGAGTGGTGAGTTCTGCACCTTTCCTTCCTTACGTACCCTCGTATCAGCAACACCTCTGTTTGGTGATGTTGATGGTGTGTGTGTGTGTGTGTGCGCGTTACTCACGTCGGAGTGACACAGCCACGTCGAGGTCGGTGAAGGTACGACCAGTTGTCGCTGCTGTGTGGTGTCACGCTTCCCTTTGATACAGATGTTCTGATCCAACAGAGGAGATGAAGAGATGAATTTGTCTCATATTTGCAGATCATGCTGCTCGTTTGCAACCGTTTTTCTGATTTATTATAAAGTTCCTGATAACGAAGGCAGAAAACGTTTGGGCTCCATTGCTCATGTTTACCTTGTAAACTGTGTAATTTGGGAATCTGTGCCGGGGATTACAGATTAAACAGAGCAGGGAGAGGCACAGGGAAAGAAATGTGTGTGTATGACAGCGTGTGCCGTATACTCTAGGTGTGTGTGTAGGAGTTTAATCTGTGTGTGTGTGTGTGTGTGTGAGAGTGCGCGAGAAACTCACCTCTAGAGAGTCTGGGTCACTCTCACACAAACCCCCAATATATAGCTACAAAAGGGACAAACGCACGTGTCTCTTCGTCACCTGAGACTCTTTGACCTAATTCAGATCCTCCCGGCTGCTTTTCTGTCCTCAAGGGTGAAGTGCAACTCCAAAGTGGACCCGACGAACCCCACCTTCCTGAAGGTATCTGTCCTCATGCAAACCACAGATACTCCATTACCGAAAAAAAACCTCTGCGCGGCTTGCATTCACAACCGTTTATCTAACGTGCACGAAAAATTGAAATAACGAACAGAATTTACACAATTTGTTGGTGAGTTTGAGCTTTAACGTTTTACACCTGTCATTTTGTAAAATATAATTAGGCTGATAAAGAGGAAATAAAAAGTGAAATAAATATTTTTTTCATTACCGACAATATTGTATTGACTGTATATATATATGAAATATTTAAAAAATATATATATATATATAAAATATTATATATATATATATATATATATATATATATATATAAAATAAAATAAAAAAAATATATATATATAAAATATAAAACAAAAATATATATATATATAATATATAATATAAATATATGTATATATAAAATATATATATATTCAATGCAATGCCATAAATCCTTTAACTGCCACAACATTTGTTCATTTCTATGGGGTGTATTTCATTTTTGACAGATTGAGAAGCACCTTACATACATACATATATTACATAGTTACTGTATGTGCTCATCAAACATCACATTTAAAAAAAAACCGCTACATGATTAAAAATGATTATTAAACGATCCAATCCTATATTCACGCAATAAGACAAACCGTTTGTATGATTACATTAAATTCCAAAGTCACATCCCCTGAACGGCTGGACTGAATGTGGGGATCTGGATTTGATTCGCAGAAACATTGGAAGAGACGCGCATGATGATAACAAAAAGACATTAAAATCTCACTGCATACATTACAGAACCATTAAGAAAAAAATAAAATAAATAAAGATATAAAACAATATACATATAAACACCAGGACAACAAATGGTAGCAGTCAGCTGAGAGTAATGAACGCATTATAGGAATAAGAGTCACAACAAGAAATAAAGGCACTACAAGAGGTTCCAGATGTCGAGCCCGATCCGATTCGGTGCATTTAACCTTCTCGTCACGCCGAGAAAAGGACAACAAACAGACTGGAACATGGAGACGTCTCAGAGGACAGAGCCAGAGGACACGCGTCCCGTGACCCTCCAATGTCCAGAGTTCACAACTAATTTGCACAATACAGAATGTTTTCGGAAGCCGGAATGTGCTGTGTTGTTGTTGTTGTTGTTGTTTTGTGCAGCAGTTTGGTTTAATTGCTGCTCTGTCCTCTCGTGGCAGATGTCTGACTCCGGCGGTCTTCCCCAGCTCACACAGGTTAGCGCACAAACACAAACACAAAACAGGCCGCACACGTTTGCGTTCGACTCAGTGACACGAAAACAAAACAAAAAAACCCCGCGTGTGTTTTCTCCTGCAGCCCGGGAAGCTGACCGAGGCCTTCAAGTACTTCCTGCAGGGGATGGGCTACAGTAAGTGCGCCGCCTGCCGCCGCGCGCGCGGGACGGATGTCTTCCATGTGTGTTAACCTCGCCCTTTGTCTCCCCGTTCTCTCAGTCGCTTATGTGAAGGATCGGAGGTTGGGTGGAGGGCCAGGTACTCCCCCCCCCCCCTTCACCTGTGACCTCTAAATGCTGCCCTGTTTGATGACTTTGTGAAGCCTCATTTTGATTTCCTCTGGTTATGAACACAGTTTTTTTTTTGGGCTGTTATTAAAACAATTATGTTTGCTTTTATCAATCTTTTATCAATCTGCGGGGGGGACAATAATACGGAAGCCCCCGAGAGGCAAGTGGGAAACGAATGACGGAGATCCTTTTTCTAAGTCGTTTTAGTTGTTTTCTATCTTGAGTTTATAACAACAACAAAAAACCAAGTGGAAAAAAAGGGCCAAAAGATGTTCACAGCCGGACAAACGGCATTCGTGTTTTCACATAACTCAATAACGGATGATTTGTGTGGGCCTTGTCATTTTAGTACAAGCAGAAATTAAAACTCACCTGAAAGAAAACATGATCCTTCCCCTTAGAACAAGACAAAGAACTTGAAAAGATTCATCAACGATTCTTAAATCAGAGCGATTTAAATCAGACTTCAAAAACGGATCTCAACAATACATTTTTCCTGAATTGCCTCTCAAGGCTTCTGTCATTACACCCCATCCTTGTTTTATAAAGAATATTTTTCCCCCCCATGGAAAAATATACTGCCCTTACCCCACTACTTGCATTGTTTTGCCATTGCATCTCCGGTCCCGGGCTGCGTTCCAATTGTCCTAACTGAGTGAAATAACCCAGAGGAGCGTAGATGGCCTCCAGGATAAGAGCTGTTTGGATCCTCTCACGCTGAGGAAAGGAGCTTCCTATGCTTCCCTACTTGAAGCGTAGGAACCGCCTTAGGAAAGGAAAGGAGATAACTCCGTCCCACAGTTCCCTGCTGCAGCAATATTTAAACAGTGAACCGTTAGCATAATTATTTATGCTGCGACCTTGTTAATAAAGTAACACTTCGAACCAGGTTGACTCAGCTCTGTAACGACACGTGAAGGCATCTGAGATGCTTCTCGTTGGTCCACCTTCAGAGAACTTGTGCAGACTGACACGTCACTAACATGTGGACTACGTAGCTGGACTCGCTAAATACCACGGCCTTCTTTTGCCAAATCCTCACCAACTGTCCCAACCGTCGCCCCCCCGTGATGTTTACCACAGAGGTCAAGGGTCGGCGGTCAGGAACAGACAATCAGAGGCAATTGTTTCGGACTGTTTGAATCCAGCGCGGCTCTTTGCATGGCCCTCTGCTGCCTCTCGAGCGCCGTCATCGTGTTTTCGCTAAATGCTTTTTCTCCCTCGTCCCAGTGCCCTCGGCCAGCATGACCCGCCTGGCTCGCTCCAGGACGGCCTCCCTGACCAGCGCCGGCTCCGTGGACGGGTCCCGCTCTCGGGCCTGCACCCGCTCCGACAGCGCCGAGGGGGTCGCCCCCATCGCCCACACCATGGAGGTCTCCTGCTGAAGGGTCGGCCCGGGCCGCAGAGAGAGCAAGAGAGAGCGGGGGGGCGGGGGGTCCGACGGGGTAGATTTCATTTTCCCCTCCATGTCACTTTGTCCGTCATCTTCTCCCCCCCGCCCCCTCCGCGGTACGTGTTGCTACTAATTACCCCAACACACCTTGAAACAGCGCCCTCCTCGCCCCTATCGCCCAACACTTGTAGGCAACAGTGTCAGTTCTTGCGGTGTCTTCCTTGTGTGCGCTAATGTCCCCGTCCCAACAGATACTGAAGACACGAGCTGCTGCTGATCAGCGTCATCATCAGGAACTCCAGGACGTGGTTCTGCCTGTAGTCAGGTGGTCTCTAACGTGCCTATCGCACTCTGACCCAAACCAAACTAGACCGGAGGACCCAGCTGGAGCTTTTCCTGGCTCCAGCGCCCAGGATAAAACCAAATGCCGTCCCCCCCTCTTGCATTAAACCTGCACGTTCTGTGCTTTCAAAGGGGAAACTCGGTTTCAGTGCTGGACGGTCTTCATGCGCCACATTCAGCTTCCGGTTTTTTTGGAGCCGTTTGGGCGCCAAGCTCGGAATGTAGGGCAACGCCCCCACGCCACCCTAAAAAAACACCAACCCGCAACAGCCCCCAAATAATCACAAGGTGCCCCGGCTCTCACAGGCAAACCCAGTCGCACCCTAAAGGGCTATTAGCTGTCACGTGTTTGCTTTAAATGGTCGGTAGTGTCAGTCGAGTTTCCGTTTAAATCCGTCTTTAGAGCAGAAAAGCGAAGGTGTTGTTACCGAAACACGGAGAGAGATTCCGACTTTAAGGAGTGGTGTGTGACTGAATGTCAAAAGAAGAATGTCATTTCTGATCAAGGGAGGATTTAAAAAGAAAAAGAAGAAGCGCTCAGATGTCATTGGCCGGTCAGATCGAGCGCCTCATTCGACTCCTCTCGCAACCTCGCGGGGGAATTTATGAGCCCTGAAGTTTGCATGTAGCGGAGTTTATGTTCACCTCTCGTCGTTTTCTTACTTCACTAAGCTTTTTCCTGCACACTTGGGATTTCTCCCACTCGTCTTCGACCTAACCTGCCCGGGAGATCCCCAATGTATTTTGTCCTTTATTGAAGTGCTGTACAGTATCGTCAACCCCTGCAGAACCCCTCGCTGAGGTTTTCACTTCCATCCCCGAACACAAAAAGCAAGCTGCTTCCTGCTCCTCTTGGAGTTTAGAAATAGTGAAGTTTGGTAGCAACGTGTAAACAGCTCGATCAGCTTCTGTAGACGTCGGTCCTCCTTTCACCTGTAGATAGTCTCAGTTTGCAGCACAGGTCCCCCGAAGCGACACTGAAGAAAACTTTAACATATTTCTGTTCCTCTTCATTGGAGTTTCTTTTTTTAATAGGAAACTATAGGGTGTAATCTTGGTATAATCATATTTGTTTGTGTGTACTACTACTACTACTCTTCGTCATTGCTGCCATTATGGTTGATTTGTATTGAGCAATAAGTTCTTCTTTTGTCGTTTGGTTGTTTCACACTGGGAGCTTGTTTCTATTCACAACAGTAGAAGGGTTCTCCCCTACTTAGCTGTCATTCAGATGTGTAATGTTATTCAGTATATGGTATTCAAATAGTAAGATTACTCTGTCTGTGTACTGATCAAGTAACAAGTATGAAATAAAAACTTTGTCAAAATGTAGTGCGTCTGATATTTTTTCCCAGCTTCTGCCCCTCTGCTTCCCCTTCCCCCGTAAATGAAGGAATATTATTTAAAGGACACATTGGACAGCACCAGGCCCACCCCCTCCTGTCCTGCAGTCCATCGAGACCCTCTCTTTGGGATCTGTTGAAATCCCAGCAGGCCTTCCTGTGGTCCAGCTAGACCTTCGCTATCATATCATGCGGCCTCTCTGGACCTGCGTCCTTATCTGTGGTCGATTGAGACCCTACTATCTTTTGCTTTTTAAAGTTGACCTGTACTGTAACTCCGGTTCACATCACCTACTATGTGTCACCCTAACAAGCTCTGTCCTTGTTAACATCAGCTCATGACTTTCCCGCCAGAAACTCTCAGCGGAAGTAAGTCAATCATTTATTTATTTGATTCAAATAAAATAAATCTTGTTTTAGTGAATATGCCTAATTTCTTCTGATGCCTGGTTTATCCTACTGCAGGGTGGAGTCCAAGCAAAGACATTCACTATTCATATCTATGTGCAGCGGACTCTCAGGGACATTTTATGTCGCCGTGAATCTACTGCATGTTTGAAGAAGAGGAACATGATGACACACAGTTTCATTGAAATTAACCGGGGGGGGGGGGGGGGGGGTATCCAGATCCTGCTTCTCAAATCATCCTGAACATCTGATAATCCTTAAACTATCTTTCTCTTTGACCGTATTTGGATTTCCCCAACATAACCCTCCTCTACTTATTACAACCACTAGTTTAAGGGAAAATGAAATAATATTTTTTACAATATTAGTATTTGTCTCAGCCATTATTTTCTTAATTTCATTCCAATTGTACCATTTGTTTGTTTCATCAGTTTTATCACGCGCATCAATGACCAGAGATCAACCCGCCGGCACAAATGCCCGCTGATGTTCTGTTCTGTTCATTTCTACCATTTAGTTCACATTAATGATGATCATACTCTGATTCCAGTGTCGTTATTGTCTGTTTTCTTTCTCTACTGACATTCATTCCTTAAGACTGTGTAGATACATGTATAACGATCTGATAGTAACCAAGAGTTAAGCATATTCATCTAGAAAACTATACCTGGAATGTTGTAACAGCCAATATCATTTCATTTCATGTGTCCATCCAGAAAAATTGATGGATCCAAATGTTATGAAAAACACGTATAATGTAACTTCTTTGTCATCATCCAAAATAATGTTAAGTATAAGGGTATTTTTCCAAGTAGGCCACTCACTGGTCGATACATGCTATGCATTGAGTGGGCCAGTCTGACTAAGAACCAGGCCACATTAGATTAGCTCTTACGCTCACAAGTGAGATGCTCTTACAGTCTCTAGTGAGATGCACTTATGTCACTAGTGAGATGCTCTTACATTCACTAGTGAGATGTTCTTACATTCACTAGTGAGATGCTCTTACAGTCTCTAGTGAGATGCTCTTACGTTCACTAGTGAGATGTTCTTACGCTCACTAGTGAGATGCTCTTACAGTCAATAGTGAGACGCTCTTACACTCACTAGTGAGATGCACTTATGTCACTAGTGAGATGCTCTTACACTCACTAGTGAGATGCTCTTACAGTCTCTAGTGAGATGCTATTACAGTCTCTAGTGAGATGCTCTTACGTTCACTAGTGAGATGCTCTTACGCGCACTCTTGAGATGGTCTTACACTCACTAGTGAGATACTCTTACGTTCACTAGTGAGATGCCTTTACACTCACTAGTGAGATGCTCTTACGTTAACTAGTGAGATACTCTTACGTTCACTAGTGAGATACTCTTACGTTCACTAGTGAGATGCTCTTACACTCACTAGTGAGATACTCTTACGTTCACTAGTGAGATGCTCTTACACTAACTAGTGAGATGCTCTTACGTTCACTAGTGAGATGCTCTTACACTAACTAGTGAGATGCTCTTACGTTCACTAGTGAGATGCTCTTACACTCACTAGTGAGATGCTCTTACACTCACTAGTGAGATGCTCTTACGTTCACTAGTGAGATGCTCTTACACTCACTAGTGAGATACTCTTACGTTCACCAGTGAGATGTTCTTGCGCTCACTAGTGAGATGCTCTCATCGATCTCCCGTCCCCACTCGGCCGGTACCGGCCCCCATGGCTCAGACGCTTCTAGTCCCCGCTCCCTGACTCAGGCTCCCTCCCTCCCATCCCGTGGTTCTCTCCCACCCTCCCGTTGGTGATTTAAGGGCCGTCTGGGATCCGGCCCTTGAGAGGGGGTTTATGGGGGGGGCTGAGCCGGCGACTCCGGAGGTGTTCCGTGTCCCTGAGCCGGCGACGACTCCGGAGGTGTTCCGTGTCCCCGAGCCGGTGTTCCGTGTCCTCGAGCCGGCGACGACTCTGGAGGTGTTCCGTGTCCCCGAGCCGGTGTTCCGTGTCCTCGAGCCGGCGACGACTCCGGAGGTGTTCCGTGTCCCTGACACGACGACTCGGAGGTGTTCCGTGTCCCCGAGCCGGTGTTCCGTGTCCTCGAGCCGGCGACGACTCTGGAGGTGTTCCGTGTCCCCGAGCCGGTGTTCCGTGTCCTCGAGCCGGCGACGACTCCGGAGGTGTTCCGTGTCCCTGACACGACGACTCGGAGGTGTTCCGTGTCCCCGAGCCGGTGTTCCGTGTCCTCGAGCCGGCGACGACTCTGGAGGTGTTCCGTGTCCCCGAGCCGGTGTTCCGTGTCCCCGAGCCGGCGACGACTCCGGAGGTGTTCCGTGTCCCCGAGCCGGAGGTTTCCCATGTCCCCCAGCCAGAGACTCCGGAGGTTTCCCAGCCATTCCATAGACGTTCAGTGCCCTGCAGTCCTGCAGCCCTCCCGGCCAACAGACCGCCCGCCAGGCCGACCCCCAGAAGCTCCCCCGCCGTCTGGCCGCCCGCCAGAGTTTCCCGTGCGGTCCGACCAATGTCTCTGGTTTCCCTCCCTCCTGCCCCTTGTCTGCGCTCTACCAGTCTGGGGCCGTCTGGAATTCGGCCCTTGGGGGGGGGGGGGGGTACTGTCACGGTGTGGTTTTATTTCCTGTCTATCTTTGTAGTTTCTGCTTCTTGTCTCCCCGGGTAACTTCACTTCCTGCCTTGTCCTGTCGTCCCCTATGATTGTCGAAATGTTTCCACCTGTGTCCAATCACCAGCACCTCCCTAGTGTATTTAAGCCGTGTGTGTCTCTTGTCGTGTCATTGTCTTTTGTCCTGGATGTTTCTGGTTCCTGCCTACCTTTTCCCCTGGTTCCTGTTTGCGTTTTTTCCCCTTGGCCTTTTGCTTTTGAACATTTGGACTAATAAAGTCTTCTTTTGTTGCTCGAAGTCTGCGTGTGAGTCCTGCCTCTCCCCGCACCCCTGACAACTAGTGAGGTGCTCTTACGCGCACTAGTGAGATGCGCGCGAGTGTTTCATTAGTACGCGTAAGAGTGTCTCAGTAGTGTGCGCAAGAGCATTTCAATATCGACTAATTTGACATTTTAATTCCATTTATGTAGGTCAAAAGATATCATTCGAGTTTACAACATGGATGTTAAGTAAAACAACACCTGACAAAACTATGCAGATTATCGTCCTTTTCAGCTTTGCTGTTTTGATTGTACGATGAGTGTGTGTTGTCTGAGCAGTGTGTAGTAGTACTGTTTTAACCCAGTAGGGGACAGTGTGATCTCACAGCGAAGACAGGTGGACAGATGTTTGTGCTGCTGTGGCCTGATTCCCAGTTTCTGGCTGGCTGCCTCAGACACGCCCACATAATGACAGACCTGTCAGATTTATAACAGCAGCCGGCCTGCTCTGCACCATGTATGTGGTCGGGATGCCTTCATGTTTCTGCACGGGAAATAAATAGACTGGGCTGGACCCACATGTTCTGTAATGACATGGCTGGGACATTTCTGGTAACATCAGCTCTGTAGTTTGAATCTTCAGGTCCCGTATATGAAAATTTCAGTTTCTGGAGAATTGCTATAAAGAAGCCAAGTGTAACAGAAGTATAAAAGTAGTAATTCAACAATATATGTAATCTGACAGTATCTAAACTGTCATTGGTGATCTACTAATCATGAGCCCCGAACCGATTCATCCCCACAGTGTGAGATGCAATAAGGTTGCTACCAAAATATATGACCATGTCCCATGTCAAAGGGTCCCTGAGCAAGACACCTAGCCCCTAATTGCTCAAAATCGATCAAAATGATTCACAAATAAAAATCTGAAAAGCGTTGAGTGCATATGAATTCACCCCCTTTACTGTAACGCCCCTAACAAAGATCTGGTGCGACCAATTACCTTCACAAGTCACATTTACGAGTCACATAATTAGTAAATAAGGTCTTAATTTAATAAATACACCTGTTCTGTGAAAGCCTCATTTGAAAAATATTGAATGGATTGAATATTTCATTTCTTTGAAGCAAGTTTGATACCCTGATGACTGTTGACTTCATTCTGTTCGACTCTGCTGATGATAGTGATCATAATTTAATAATGATAATTTACATATTCTTTTAAAACAACTGTTGTACACCACGATACCAACATGTTAAATGGTTTTAGCCCCCTGCCGTCGAGGCCTTTGTTTCAATGCTTTAAGCAAAAAGTACATTTGGTCGTCGATGGTCCTCGGGGGACGAGGTACTAGCAGCACTCGTTATTTGTCCCTGTTCCTGGTTTTCCGCAGCTCTTTTAATTTTGCTGCTGACGCACTTAATAACACCAGACTTTCCTTTATGGATGTCTGGACGCGGGACTGCACATGTGGCGCAGGAAGCATGAGCCGATAGTGGTATTAATGCTAGTTTACAGTACACGAACACACGAGTGTAATTCGTCCTGTTTACGATAGACAGTTATTTGAAGATGGGACGGTTGGCTGAATCCAACGGGACCACTGGTACATCCCCACATTACCAAGCAAAGGGAAAGTAAATGACCACTTAACAACGCGTCCTCATGGGGAAGTCTATCCTGCTGGAATCATGTCACGATGCAAGACTTCAGCGG